GGATGAAATCAACTCTGATTTTATATATAAGAAGTTGTACACTTCGTGAATATATGTATATTCAAACAAATGTACCAAACACAATTCAGAAGTTATAAACTTACTGAAAGTAAGCTAATCTTGCTTGATATCATATTGTTCAGAAGTTGTGAACTTTCTGAAAGTATGGAATTCAGACTTAAAGCTTCAGAAGATGCGCTCTCCTGAAAGGAAGTCAAGTCAACATTTTGATGCATGCTCTGATACAGAGATGCCACTCAAAAGATATGCTCTGATACATGTGCTTCAGCAACGTATGTTCTATTAAGAAGTTGTGAATTATCTGAGTGAATAATATATTGGAATATATCAAATCAAATGCCGATGCTTAAGAAGTAGTTAACTTTTCTAAAAGTGTAATGTTTTGGTTGTGATATTAGATTCAAGAAATAGAAGTGCTGATAAAGGATGCGTGGCATTATTCAATCAACCTCAAAATCAAGTTTTGATTCTTCATCAAGTTCTCATAGTAACCAGGTTCTAAGATGAAGACAAGGTTTTCTAGTTAGACTCTGATGAGTTATTATAGGGAAGTGTTCCTTCTCTATTTTCTATGTTCTGAAAACTCAAAATTTATTTTCGGAGTCTTGGGCTCAGGGGGAGACTCTGAACAAGCATAAATGAAATTTTGGGATTAACAGATTCAAGGGGAGTTGTGAGCTTAACTCTGAATTTGTCGGTTAGGGTGATTACCTTGTATAAATTATTCTATCAAAATACATGGTTTTGTCATCATAAAAAAGGGAGATATTGTAAGAACAATAATTTTTTCTACATCTGGCCTTAAGATTTTGATGATAACTTTACATGATATCATTAAGAACAATTATATACTCTAATGGTTTTGCTCTACTGTGTAGCTGCTGCTGTAATGTTCTAAATCTGATATTAAGGCGTGTGATGTCATCAAGTTCTGAACATAAACAATACTGGATGAAAACATGTGGTTACGTGTTACAGTTGAAGTCAATATTATGGAACTCATCGTATGAAAAAGGTCTTAGGAATGTTAGTACAAGAAGTTCTGATCGTGAATTTTTGGTTAAGCTTTAGAGGCCTTCTAAAGATTTTCTTCTATGGGTTACAAGTTCTGAAGATTATGAAGACGAGGTTCTGCTGAACAGGTTCTCATGATTTGAAGAAAAGCAAGTTCTTACAACCAAGTGCTGAAGACTTTGAAGACGAGGTTCTGATAAGATAAGTTCTGAAGACTCCAAGACTTAGGTTCTAAGACTTAAGAGTGATTCTTCTACAATAAGCTTCAAAAATTCAAATTATCTGAAGCCTCTGAAGATAAGAAGAAGTTCTAAATGGTTAACGTGTGATGGTGTACAAAAGGTACAAAAAGTGCTTTATGACCTCTATCTTCTAGGGCGGTGTAAGGACAATCATTTCGTACTATACTATGACCACTCTCATTATGATCGTTTAGAACAAACAACTTTATTTTCCTATTACATTTCTATCCTTTCAATAGATCTCTTTTACAAGCTATAAAAGAAAGACTTGGAAGCTGAAGAAAAGTGAAGAATCGACATTACACAAATCTATCAGATTAAATCAAGCTCAAGCAAAACTACACCAAAGCGATGTGCAAACTCTATAGAGAAATCTTATGTGTATAGTTTTTTAAATAAGCAAGAAGTTATTGCTCGTATCTTGCTGTAAAATACTTAGCTGTTTTTATTTATACTAAAACGTCTACGTAATCTACTTAGAAGAAGCAAGTTGTAATACACTGAAACTATTCAACTGTTGTTGATTTCTTGAGAGACCAAGTGAAGGTCAGATCTCAAGAAGGCTCTTGCTGCAATTTGAGTGGATTTGCAATAAGGATCAACTGACTTATTGGGGGTGACAATAAGGTTAATCTGACTTATTGTGGGTTATTTGTAACCAGTTTGATTATATTGGATTAAGTCCTTGTTGAAGGCAAATCACATTGCAGGGTGGACTGGAGTAACTTAGTTAACAGCGAACTAGGATAAAAAAGAATTGTGTTAATTTATTTTTATGTTCTAAGTTAACTTTATTTTTCATCAACGAAAAATAATCAAAATTTATTATGGTGAAACCTAATTCAAACCCCATTTCTTGTGTTTCCCACACCTTCAAGTGGGATAATGGCCTTTTCAGCGGTTTTGAAGTTTGACAGTGTGGAAGCATTTTAGAAGGTTAAACTGCATGTTTTGATACGTGTATTCCTTTTTGAGGTATAATTGTCGGAGATAGTTATTGTTAGACTAGTATAACTAAAAGACTCATACATTGTAATCGAGGTCATAAAGTTTCATACACCCTCTCTATAGAACTGAAGTACCAAAGTCAAAGAGCAGAACAACTTGTGAGAAACATGTATGAGTTTGTGTCCTTTCTTTTCATTGTTCTTTTGTTTGCTTAAATGAAACACGTATTTTCTTTTGTCATTTACCAAAGCTTCTCTTTGATTAAGATTTACATTTATTTTGTCTTTATACAACAGTTGCATTTAATTCACACACACTGCTTTTCACACAAATACTTTGCACGAATTACTCCAGAGATTTTTTGAGTTAATCTCAAAAGCATAGTAAACTCGTGATTGTTTACCAAAAACACCAGTAAATAGAGAGTTCATAGTGGGTATTAGTGTTTCATCAGGTTTGGATCGGGAATTCCTTAGTTCGGGTTATACACCCAGTAGAGGATGTCAGTTAATTCCTTCTTCTTGTATTGGGGTGCTCACATCTAGGGCTAATCATGCGCTGATGCAGTTAGCCTTTGATATTGAGATCAAGCCATATATTTTATATGAGCTCGGATTTATGGCCTTTAATGTTCATATCAGTCTAAATAGGGGTGTAATCGGATATGAAAAAACTAATTAAACCGACAATTCCAACCAAATCAAACTGGGAAAAATCGATTGTTTTTGGTTCAGTTTTAAAACCGAACCTAACTAATGAAAATCGATGTGGTTTGGTTTGGTTCTCAGTTTTAGTTTTAGTTTTTAGGAACCACCAAACTGATGAACCTAACCAATGACTATAATTACGCTATAAATATTTTATTCCACCTCTCATTAAGCCCAAATTTTGTATTGGTCCAACCATTCTCCATCTTTGTTTGTGTTTCTTTCCTTTCAGCAAAACACTCATTTAGAACCAAACTCCAAAACATAGAAAATAAAAACCATAAGTCACAAAAACTTATTGCTGCTCTTGCCCTCCATCTACTCTATCTACCGTCATTCTGATATGTTATGGTCGTCTTCTTCGTGTTCAAGTTTTATTAGTTAGTTTATATATATATATATATATATATATATATATATATATATATATATATATATATATATATATATATATATATGTTATGGTCGTCTTCTTCGTGTTCAAGTTTTATTAGTTAGTTTATATATATATATATATATATATATATATATATATATATATATATATATATATATATATATATATATATATATATATATATATATATATATATATATATATATATATATATATATATATATATATATTATTTTTTCTTCTTCAACAAAATTTCTTGGGGTCTTGTTACAAAATAGTTTTAATATGTGTTTGAGGTGTGAAATATGTTAATTTATATGTATTGGAATTTTTTGTTATAATGTTGCATTATACTTATTAAGCTTTCAAATCTCTTTTAAATATTCTGATGCCAAGTGCTAACTTTTATATTTGATAGTAAACTTATTTCACGATGCATCATGTCCGTGTTTCATATGGATTAAGAAAAAAATGTAAATTGTTTGAAAAAATAAAGCTTGAAATAAATTACATAATGTATTATTTAAAAAAATAATAACATAAAATACACTAAGAAACACGATATTTAAGAATTCTCTGATGAATATAATATTTAAAAAAATAATACAAACCAATCAACTAAACTAAATCAAACAAATTAGTTTGATTCAATTTTATTTTGGACAAAATTTATGTACAATTCTCCCGATGTGATTCTTATTATTTTCCAATGAAAATATGACAAGTATGCTTAAATATCATTTAAAGAGTTAAAACATGAGCAATTTACATACCTGAAAGAAGAAATTATACACTTGTCATATTTTCATTAGAAAATAGTAAGAACCATATCTAAAAAATTGTACCTAAATTTTATTCTTTTATTTTAAAAAAAAAATTAATACTGAATCAAATCAAATCGATAAAAAATATCATCCATCCAAATATGTTTTTTATTAAAAATCAATTCAAATCAAATCAATCACATCCCCTAAATTTAAATATGAAAATAATTTACGTTTAAATACATTTAAATAAAATTGAATTAAACAATAATTAGTATAAAATTCACATTTGCATTCATAAACTAAAACTTTTAATTTTCAACTAAAATTCGTTGAGAAAACAAATCAATCTTACTATAAGTGAATGAAACGTGTCAAATAAATTTTAGACATTCAAAACCAAACCTAAATGCTTCAAAGGTGGATAGGCTTCACAATTTGCCCATACAATATCATTATCATTAATTATGTAATTATATAATACTCTTGTAAAACTATTTTAAATCTTTCTATATTATAAAGAATGGAAATGTGGAGAAGAAGACACAATCATACGACACATGGCCATTCAAATAAATGAAACACAAAATCATTAACTAAGTCACACCTTCCAAATTTAATTGGATACAATCACAAGATGTGTATAGAGATCTAAGTTTATGTTTTTGCCAAAGAATAATATGATTCACCCCACCCCAACCGAACAAAACGCGTCTTCTTTTGGCCTTTCTCTGTTGCTCTCTTTTCTTTCCGCCCCATTTCCACTTGTTTCTTACTTCCTACTACTCACTCCCTCACCCTTTTCACCTATATAAATACAACCCAACCCAACACAACACAACCAAAACCTCAAACCTTAATAAACACACTCTTCACAATAACCTTGTTATTGTCGCAAAATAGCAACATGTTTCTCTTCCTCTTCTTTCTCTTCTCCTCCATTATTAACCCCTCTCTTCAAACAAACTCACTCTCACTTTCTTTCCCTCTAACCTCACTCTCTCTCCCCAAAAACACTTCCTCAAAATTGCTCTACACATCTCAACTATTCTCAACTCCAAAACGCAACATTAACAACAACAACACACAAATCAAACAGCCTTCTTATAACTACAAATTCTCCTTCAAATACTCCATGGCTCTCATCGTTAACCTCCCCATTGGAACACCACCGCAGGTTCAACCAATGGTGTTGGACACAGGTAGCCAACTCTCGTGGATTCAGTGTCACAAAAAACAACCTCCAACGGCTTCGTTTGATCCTTCTCTCTCCTCCACTTTCTCTAACCTCCCTTGTACTCACCCTCTCTGTAAACCACGAATTCCCGATTTTACCCTCCCAACTTCCTGTGACCAGAATCGCCTCTGCCATTACTCATACTTCTACGCCGACGGCACTTACGCGGAGGGTAATCTCGCCAGAGAAAAATTCACATTCTCTCGTTCCGTTTCTACCCCTCCTCTCATCCTCGGTTGCGCTACAGAATCTACCGATCCCAGGGGTATTTTAGGAATGAATCTTGGACGGTTATCCTTCGCTCATCAATCGAGAATTACGAAATTCTCATACTGTGTACCCACTCGTCAAACCCGACCCGGGTTTACCCCATCCGGATCTTTCTACATCGGTAACAACCCGAACTCGAAATCGTTCAAGTACATCAAAATGTCGATTTTCCCGGAGCGTCAACGCATGCCGAATCTCGATCCATTAGCCTACACCATCCCATTGGTCGGAATAAGCATCGGCGGGAAGAAGCTCAGCATTTCACCGGCGGTTTTCCGTGCGGACGCTGGCGGGTCGGGTCAAACGATGATTGACTCCGGATCCGAGTTCACTTATTTAGTTGGGGAAGCTTATGATAAAATGCGGGCAGGAGTAGTTAGAGCTGTGGGGTCAAGAATGAAGAAAGACTACGTGTACGGCGGAGTGGCTGACATGTGTTTTGATAGTAAAAATGCGGTTGAGATCGGACGGTTGATAGGTGAGATGGTGTTTGAATTTGAAAGAGGTGTGGAGGTTGTGATTCCGAAGGAGAGAGTACTTGCTGACGTGGGAAGTGGGGTCCACTGTGTTGGGATTGGAAACTCTGATAAATTAGGTGCGGCGAGTAACATTATTGGGAATTTTCATCAGCAAAATCTATGGGTGGAATTTGATCTGGTCAATCGTAGGGTAGGTTTCGGTAGGGCTGAGTGCAGCAGATTGGCGAAGTAGAGATGGGAATTTATTGTGTACGTGCATGTGTATGATGGTTGAGTAGGGTTGAGTTTTCGTACGGATGAAAAAAATATCTTGATATTGTGTGGTCAGTGATCATCGTTTTGATGATGAGATCTAACGGTTGGTAAAGATACGCGTGGCGTGGCGTGGCTAAACGAGTTTAGTTTATGCCCAAGCTTTTCTTTGGCAACATGAGTCAATGCATTTATTTTATAAGTAATTAACCATGTACACTAATGTATATATACGACGATTAGAGAAAATATATGTACTAATATTATATTAAAATATTAATATATGATCCATTGTTTTTTTATGAAATATCATAATTTTAGAGCAATTTTTCTTTTAACGAGACTAAATATTTAAAAGGGAAAGGTTTAGGTTTTGAAAGTAAGAAAGAAATGATGAAGAAAAAGAAGTTACGTCACAATCACATTGATAGAATAGAAGTAGTAGCAATAGTAATGGAATCCAGCTGTGCAACGAAATGTTGAGCAGATATCACTATCATTTCCAGGGTTTTGAGGGATTAGCTCATCTCTCGAGAAAGTTGAATCCCAATGCTAACGCCTAACGCTATGCATATGCTAGTATTACTATATGACACATGTTTGGATTGGCATGCAGTAGAAGGTTCTTTTTTTAGAAGGAAAGGATGTGCCTAGTAATTTACAGCTAGACTACAGCTAAAAAATTGACTAAAGCAAATTAGCTTTATCGTTTTCGATATGAGATTAGTGTTATTTTAAAGGTCCACAGTAGTATGGTAAAATCACTGACGTCTTTTTTGAAAAAACGAATATTGGATTAATCGAGGAGAGTTCAAACGGGAAGCTAGATTTGAAAAACTGAACACAAAAGTGAAAAAGTTGATGATTTTCCGATTAATGGTGTTTTTGTCCATGTAACATGGGACCAATCTAACTGTAGTCCTTGTACAAAAATAAACCATTTACTAAGTTTTTTTTCTTCATATTTACTTGTACGGAGTACTTTGGAACATTTACCCTTCTTTGATTAAAAAAGTCAAATAATTCAAACAAACAAAAATCCCATGATTGATAAAATTATAACTAAGGTTTAAATTTATTTTCCTTTTCTTTTTCATTGTGTTTGGTTTTATTTTGGTATTATGGTAGTTTTTTTCTGTCAATTTTCTAAGTCTAAGTCAATTAATAAAATAATATGACATTGATATGAAATGCAATATGACTTAGATTAGTTTTGTGATCAATTTAAAGATTTGTCACTAAAAATATTTTGAGTTTTTTATTGATGTTCATTTTCTTCGACAAATTTATTTATCGTGAGAAATTAATCCATTGCGCACAATGTAGTAGCAAAGGTAATAACAAATGAGAAATTGAATCTTTAAATTAGATAACAAATTTGAGTTATCATAGAATTCTTGAATTTAAGTTATTATATTCAAGACCATCTAGTTATTTTTGCTACTATTTTGTGGAGTATGTGAAAATATAGGAACAATCATATTTAGAATAATATTGTTGACTCTTCGATTGATATTTGTAATAGAGTTATGTATCTTCTGGCAGGTTGGAAAGAAGCACAGTATATTTGAGGAAACAATATTAGCTCTAGCATGAGTCCTTCTGTTGTTAAATGAGGCAAATCCTCAACGGGCCGTTTCAAATGTAACATTGATGCTTTCTTTTCTCAGGATAAAGTAAGTGTAAGTATGTGCATTAGAGACTCTGATGGGCGTTTTGTCGTTCTAGGACATAATGGTTCTCTCCTATTACTAATGTTGATGTTGGAGAGGCTTTGGGACTCTTGGCAACTATAAAATGGGTGCACGATATTGGACTCGACAATATGAATTTCGAGTTGGATGTTAAAAGAGTGGTGGATAACGTGAACAACTCGAAATCCAATGATTCGAAATTTGGTGTGGTTACTTAAGAATGTAATCGCCTGATGACTCTTCTGTTTACAAACTCTTATGTTAAGTTCTTCAGAAGACAAGCTAATGAAGTTGATCATGTTTTGACAAGGACGACTCCATCTTTTGCTCGTTTTCAAAATTTTACTGTTTGTCCAACATGTATTCAAATTATTCTTATTAATGAAATGAGTTGATATTTTCCCGTAAAAAAAAATCTAAATACGAGTCATCATAAATACAGTAAGATCTGTTCACACAATTGAAGAGTTTAATGTTGATAAAGATTGTTCTGTCTTTGATTGTTTTTACTCTTTTTGTTAGACATATGCAGGAGGTGGTTTTGGTAGTACTCTCCCAAATTAAACAAATGAGCTTTTGATATTTCAATTAATTAGGAAGGTGGTTTACATCATGCAAAAATATGCAAGGCTTTTGGGTTTCGTTATATAAATGACACTATGCTCAATAGGGGTGAGAATAAGTTATGTTGAGAAAGGCTTTATCAAGCATGAGTCTGACCTATTAAAATTTTTAAAGTCTAAGTCTGACTTGTGATTTATTATAGACTTATTTTTATGTTTGAGTCTGACCTTTTTGAAGGACTGATTGATCTATTAGCCTAAAAAAAGCCTATTTTACTTGAACATTTGTAAATAAGCAATTCAACTAATATTTAAATAGACTAAAAATTAAAAGATCAATGAGACTAACTGCTTATTTGCACTGACTTATTAAAGTTTACCTATTAATATAAGTTTTGTGATACTATTTATTTGACAGAATTTATGAAAACAACTTATAACATTGTTCATAAGGTTTTTTTAACCTAATTTTATAAGTTTTTCAAGATAGTTAAGCTTTGCTTTTATGTTTTAAATAAAATTACCAATACAATATAATAATAATAATAAAATTATTCATATTTATTTAAATAGACCGACTAATAGACTTAAAAAACTTTTTTATGGCATGTGGCTGAGCCTTTTTTTAACTAAATAGGCATATGAAAAAGTCTAGGCCTTTTCTATTTAAAAAATTTTGGCCTAGCCTGAGCCTGTGTAGGTTAAACCGTATGCCCCTGTTAGTTGGTCTGACATACTCTCACCCCTAATTAGAGATGTCAATGGGACAAAGAATGTGTCGAGGATGCTTTCCTACTCTCTGCCCCGCCCCCCAAATATTCACCCCATCCTCACCCTCGATCTCCGTCATAGGAGAATATTTTCCCCATCCCCACAGATCCCCACGGAGAATCAGAGATCTACAGAGACTGAATCTTAATTTTTTTTATACTTTTCAATCAAAACTATGACACTAGTATTTCGTTATATTTTCTTCTTTTTTTTTAATATATATATTGCATCTTTCTTTTTTAAAAATAAAAATCCATCTTGCATCACTAACAAAAAAAATACAAAAGTTCTTTCACTTACGAAAACATAATCACTAATTTTCTAATTGAATGAAAAATAGGTTATTAGTTGAAGAATAATTATCATAAATATAGTGAACAAATGAGAGTGATTTTTGTGATGATGATGAGAACAAAAGAGATGAGAAATGGAAGAGACAAAGAGAATTAATGTAATACCCAGTATAATTATCACCTAATGACTACCACTAATTAAATTTAGTGAAATCATTAGAAGATAATTAGTACCAATCACATTAATTAGTTGAATTGAGGGATTATGGACTAAATGAAGTGACCAAGGATATTATTGTCTTTGCACCCTCATAAGTGGAGTACTTAGGGACTTGTTTGGCATAACACCTCATTTGGAATTGATCAAAAATAGATTTTTGTTGGAGTGAAAGAAGAGAACACATGAAACAAGGAAAAGAGAGGAAGTTAAACTCCAACTTCAACATTTTGATCTTGCATGCATCAAGAATTATTTCAAACCTGATTTTACTCATCAACTACCTTCTGCTTCAGTACCTTCTTCATCATCTTCAAGGTGAGTTCCATTAGTTAGGAACTTGGGATAGGGTTTTGGGAAAAATTGCATCATAAATGGGTTAAATGGTGATAAATCCTTTGCATGTTTGTTTTAATGATGTAACACATGTTCTCTTAATGCCTTGTACATTTTGGGTTGTTGGTACATGAATTGGGATGCAAAAATGGGAGTTAGAACTCCAAATTTCGTGTTCTTCCATTTTTGGTTTGTCTGTGTGTAAGGACTTTCACTTAGCGAACTTGCTTAAATTGGGGAAGAAAAATCCTGGGACATTTTTGCTAAGCTCACTGGACCTCGCGTAGTGAAGTGCCCTTCTCTACCAGTTCGCTTAACGAACCTCCCAGTCTAGAACTTGGGAAAACTTCTGTTTTCCTTCGCTAGGACTTCGCTACTAGTTCGCTTAGCAAACTTCCCTGAGCATAATTCTATGTTTGATTCCCCTAAGTGCAGTTATATTCCGTATCGCTAATCGGACGTCTCCTCTGTCCCTTATGACTCTTAGTATGTGTTGTGTGTAACACCCCATTTCTATCCAACAAATTATATAAAATCAGAGTTACAAAATTTCCAACAAACAAATGGAATACTACAAATTCAACTTAAAATAACGGCATTTAACACAGATACATAAAACTTTAAACTCGGATGAACCAACAACAACATAAATTAATCTTTTAAAACTAACAACTTTCATAACTACGCAGTGGAATCATAAAATTCGACTTAAAAGAAAGTAACATCTTCATCCAACTGAAACAGCTCAAAATAACAAGTATTTAATGAAAGTCAACGCGCCAGCATATTCCTTGAAAAGTCAAAAGGGCCAGCAAGGTTAATGGGCCAGATTATCACAATTTCACCTCCATGTTGGGGACGGACACCCCCTAGGTTTGCTTTGTTTAAATATTTCTTTTTACATTATCTCTATTTTTATTTTAATTCTTGTATTTAATTAATTTATTATTTTCACAAAATATCAAAAAACACCTAAAAATCAAAAAAATCAGAAAAGAGAAAAATAATCATTATTTTTATTTTTAGTATTTTCCTAAATAAATTATATTAATGCATAAATTGATTAGTTTTAAATTAGGTCTTCAATTTTAATTCTTTTGATAAAA